TAAACAAATATTTAATTGCCTACCATGGACCAGGTGCTGCATTTTTATCTTATTAAACTTCATGACACCCTAAGAGGTATTTCTAACCTTACTTACAAATGAATAAACTGAGAATTTTTCTAGTTTACTGGAGCAAAGAGCAAAAATGTGAGTCAGGATTTGATTTACTTCAAGTATCAAATAATTCTAGATGATATCTGTTCCTATAACAATGGAAAAAAGGACAAAAAAGATTATGAACTCATCCATGAGGTATATAAATATCTTACAAATTCACGGTCATTGTTACACTTCTTCCACTTTCCCCATTGGTTCTTTACAAGCATTGTGACTTCCAGTCGCTCAGACCTACCCTTTTCTCATAGCACACTAACCGCTAACTTTGCCTTGCTTAAAGTCTAGACCCTGTGTTCAGCATCTTCACACTATATTCTCTGCTATACCCGAACCCTTCCTTTGTATCCTTCCTGTTTCTGACTTAGTGATCTGGGGATGGTTAGAGTATTTTACCAGTTTCAGGACTTCTCTCTGATGCTCAACGCTACCAAGTCACAACACAATGTTATAAATTTGTGCTAAGTTCACCAGGGACCTTACCACTGCTCTGTGATTCTTATAGTCATGTTTGGTTAATTTTCTATCACAGGCTTTTTCTAACTAGTTACAGCCGCTATAAGAACTTAACCCTCTCCTTTCTCCCTTCTGTTTAGCATACATGTTGTCTCCTATGTCACAGAAGATAGTTAGACCACCCATGCTGACATACTGGGCTTCCTCTGCCTTCACCACCTTCTCATCTCTGCCTATCACTCCCTCTACCTCTTGCTCCCTGGAAAAGATGTCTGTTTCCCTTCCATATGTTCTTCTACTTCTCCAAAGATATTCTTCTACCATGCCTTCTTTTTTATACATTCTGGACATCTCAACACCATTCATTTAACAACTCTTTCACAAATGTGTTTATTAATGTCTAATTCTCTGAGGCACCTGCACTTTTGCTTATGAACAAGTTCATGTTTTCCCTGCCAAAAAATAATATGAGAAATTAAAGTTTCTCTAGTCTGTTATTTCATTGTTATGCTATATTGAGAATCAGAGACATTATTATAGCTTCACTCATGAATTTCCCACCTCTGCTTAGTAGCTTTCAATATGGCTTCTGACCAAAATATTTCCAATAAGTTTTTGGCTTACAATGTGAGTTCTAAGAATGAGTGCCAAACTCTGAAGTGTGGTGATTAGTTTTGAATGATTAGCATCCAAATTAAACCAATAGAAACATAGCAATATTCATAATTATGATGCATGAAGATTATTGAATTGGGGACGGGTTTGGAGAAGAAGGCAATTTGGGAAGCAGGGGAATAAACTTAAGATGATGTGCCAAAAAAGAAGGGACAAAACAGGCTGAGTATCCCTTGTCTTCTCCATATCAGCGCAATTGTCCAGATTCTCATTACCTACATGGTTGCAATAGTTGTCCAAACAAGGCCCCTGACTACAGGTTCTTTTCTCACCATTCATGCTGAATCTGTCATTGTCTAATTAACTTTGCATATGGCAAAACCTAAGAAAATTGTGATGAATGAATGGATTTAAAATTTTCCAAAATTCCCAAAGCTTTGTAATTACTATGGTTTTTAAAGTAATATTATACAATCTATGCAGAAAAAAATATTTTTCTACCAGAGCTAAGAAGACTTAGCAGAGGAGAGAAGGAGTAGCAGTAAAAGTCATTTTAAGATACATGGAGCTAAAAAAAGATAAGATTGCTTTTCTTTCCCATTTTAATTTTTTTTCTTTGTGGTACTTGAGCTTGAACTCAGGGCTTTCACACCTTTCACACTTGCTAGACAAATGTTCTGCCTCCTGACCCACACCCCCAGTCCTTTTGCTTATCAGATAGTGTCTTGAACTTTTTCCGAAGCTGGTCTCAGACCATAAACCTCCTACTTCTACCTCCTAAATTGCTGGGTTTACAGGCATGCTAAACAATACCTGCCTCTGGCTCTTTTTCTTAAAACTTAAACATTAAGGCAATGGATTTTAACCATACATATTATCAAAAACAATCTAAAATTTAATTTGCTACATAGCGTTTTCTGAGATTTTTTTGTTCACAGAAAGCTAGAAATTATGTAGAAGTACATTTTCATCCAAGTCCTACATGTGAAAATCTCAACATATGCTGATTAGACTATAAGCAGACTGTTTGAGTTCCTGTTATTTGGTATCAGGCTTCCACGTGTATCACCAGGGATTTTGTAGAATCACTGAATTCCCAAACCTCAATTTCCATCAGGTAAAAAAATTGAATATTTTACAAAGCAATTTTATTATAGCATATCATCATTTTCTCTACACAATTATTCTGTTGGGAAAAGCATATTTATATTTTCATTACTATGTTTTCATTTGTAATTCAGCAATTGTGATTTGTGTGAAGTATATCAATTAAAGAATCATTTACTTCTTTCTTTAATGGCACTATAACTTTTTTTTTACTTTTAGTAGATGTTTGAAGTAGATATTAGCTTTTAAATTCATTTAGAACAATCTAAACTCTAGAGGCCTTACTTGAGCTGAATAATTTAGAAAATGTTGAAAATGCTAAAAACACAAAAATACATCATGTGAAATGGAAATGAAAATGAACCAAGCTTTTGATTTTTCCACTGGAAAATAACTTTAATTTTATGAGAAAATGGTGCTGCTGGTCATGCTTTAGGTAAGAGTTTTACAGAATTATTTTTACAGAACATTTTAAGAATCAAGAAGTTGAACTATCAGTAATCTGGTCAAGTCAGTGTGAACTTGGTAATCAGCTAAGTTTTGGTATAAGCTACTTATGAATGAATTACTTTTCCCATGTTGGTAAAACATCAGAGCCTCAAAATCTTTCAGCATCTGTTAGAGCATTTGACACAATCTTTTGTCCAGTAATAAATTATCAGATGGCATTAACTCCAAATCTTTCTTTTCCAAGTGAGAAATTTCGGCTGCAGAAGCAACTGGCTTGAATGCCAGGTCAAGAGAGGCTTTCATTTACATTGTGGCTTTATTGCTCCTCTGTGTGATCTTCAGTTTTTGTTACTTGCCAAAGGTGTGATTTATTTGTAAAATTTGCTTTCGTATTGTCAATAATAGTCATACATTGTCTTTAACGCAGAGTCACCACGTATGTTTTCAGGTAGGGATTTACAAACATTTTCTGAAAAGGGCAGATGGTCATTATTTTAGACTTTGCAACCAAATGGTCAAGCAAACTATTCGACTTTGTTGTGATACTGCAAACATAGCTGTAAGCAATATATAAAGCAATACATGAGGCTGTATTCTAATAAAACTTTATTCATAAAAATAGTCAGTGAATAAAATTGAGCCATAGTTTGCTGATCCCTGGTTAAATGAAGTATATTTGTGCAGAAGCAGACAGCTAAAAGGTTCAAGGACTTAAGAAATATTGCCTCTTATTCACTATAATTCATTGCATTTCAGAAGCCACAAAAATAAATATTACAATGTCATTAAGTTCTACCGAAACTCAGATTTCCTTCACTGGTTGATTTCATAGTATGTCATGTTACTGACTGAATTTAAGGACACTGTGCTGTGAGGGTGTATTAACATCAAGTGAGTGTGATACAAAGTACACTGGGCTTGGTTCCTGATGCTTAGATTTGGGGAAAGAAGATATCTCAGGTTTGACATTAACAGTAAGCACTCAGGTAATTTGTAATTTTCCTCTTTCACATTGGCCTTTTCTATGTATTGATATATTCAATACAGCTACTTCCCAACTCAGTCCAGGGGAAAGGGGGCATTGATTTTAGACTTGCTCATGTTCTCATCCCATCACCTGCACCCCAGGATTGTAGAAGCCAGTTGTTCTTTTTGCTTTCTTTGTTTTTACTTAAGAAATCAATACAAAATGCTTGTGTACTCTGTCTTCTTTAGTTTGAGGTTGGAGGAGCATTAGGGCTCAATTACCACAGCTAGCAATCTGGGCAGACATTTCTTCCCTGGGAAGAGAACACATTTTAAATCCACTCTTTAAAATGTTTTAAAATTGTACTTCAATATTCATATTTTGAACAGATATATATCTCTAATTAAATTTATTAGCAACTTCTAACTCCTAGTTAAGTCATTAGAATTATTGAAGAGCTAAGTTTTTCATTCACAACCTAGAGTTACAGAGGCTTATCTCACCCTAAAAGAAAATAAATTATTTTTAAAAATCTGAATATGAGAGTAATGAAGATTTCAAACTACATATATATGAAACTAGAATTCATAATAATTCAGAAACTGGTGGAACTCTGAAATCACTGGCAGGAGTAGAAATTAACATTTTCAAATACTAGAATTTACTGACCTTGAATTTTATGTGGCCAGTAATTTTTGTGAGATTTACAGAGTGTTAACTATGGAAAGTTCATTGTAATCTAATAGATATGCATCTTCCTTAGGAAAATCTTTGAATATTTTTAGACTGCGACTTTTGGTGTTAACTTTATTATTTGATTATACCTTAAATTCTTTTGAAAATCTTCCATGGTGGTAAAATACCATAGTTACTAAATTATACACTTGACCCTATAAAACCGCCATGAAAATAACACAATGAAGTTATCAGACTATATATTCCTTAGAATACTTATGAGTCATAACTTCTATATATGACAACCAAGTGGCCTGCTAAATAGATTAAGCTGGAACTTAGCTCAGTCCTGCTCTTAGGATGGGCTTCAGTATAAGAATAAAATGACAATGCATTTTAATATGCCAGGGTCTAGTGCCTTATAAGAAGACTTGAGTCTAATAATGGCCATATAAGTGAAAATAAATTAATATTGATCATAGATTCAGTTATAGCATCAAAGTTGAGGTGAAATGTCCACGTTGTAGTCTCTAATGCAGCCTGGTATAAGCCGGTAAAGGTAGAAAGCTACTGGTTGTCTGAGAGATCTCATACTGCCTGCTGTGTTCCTCCGCAGGATCTGTCATTGTGAGGGCGATGAAGAGAGCCCCCTCATCACCCCCTGCCGCTGCACAGGGACCCTGCGCTTTGTCCACCAGTCCTGCCTCCACCAGTGGATCAAGAGCTCAGACACACGCTGCTGCGAGCTTTGCAAATATGACTTCATAATGGAGACCAAGCTTAAGCCCCTCCGGAAGGTACAGGAATTGGGTTGAGAAAAAGAACTTGCAAAGCAAGCTTATTTGAAATATCCACTTTCTTCCTCAGAAAGAGTCTGCTAACATACTAATATTTATGAAGATTACATATCTTAACTTGGGCTCAATGTTCAAAATACAGCCATCTTTAGGGGAAACCCCTCCTTTCTTCTCTGTTTTATAATCTAGGATCTCTGATTTATACATCAATCACTACAATTAAAAAAGTGCGTGGATAAATACACATATAGAGAAACATATATATGCAAAATATATTTATAATTCAATGTAATTGAATTGATGAGAACCGTGGAGTTTCATATTTACTGAGGTCAATTCTCAAGGTTAGATGATAGATTACGTTAAACAATCTGAATTCATCTAATTTCTTGAAAGTTGTGTGTTTGATAACAGAGAGAATGATTTCTTCTATAAGGTGTGGGTTATTTAATGTTTTCTTTCCTTTGAGAATTGGTTTGATGTTTTAAATGTAATTAGAGTAGGTAGAACAAAATACTATTTTCTCTACTGTGCATAAAGCTGTTAAGAGAGGTACAAGTATATTTTATCTATAAAATTTACCTTCAAATTCTTCATTTTTTTTCCTGAAGAACAACAGTAAGACTGGGAGTCAAGTATAAAGTGACTGGAAAACATCATCTTAAGTGAAATCAGACAGTTTCGGAAGGCCAAAAGCCATATGGCTTCTCTCATGTGAAATATAGACCTAAAACAAATAAAGCAATATTATGAAAAGCTGGTCACACTAAGGGGAGGGCACATACAAGGGGAGAAGGGTAAAAGAAGGAAGTTAAGAAGGTGAATACAGTTGATGTACTGTCTATACAAAAATAAATTTAGAATTTTTAAACCTGTTGAATCCACCATAAAAAGGGGACAAAAGTAGAAATTTAAAAAATAGAGACAAACCAATTTGGGTTATAATACATATATACATGGAAATGTCACATGGAAACTTCCAGTGCAGCTATCTTAAACAAAAAATATGTCTTTTTTTTTTTCATTTACAAAATTGGAGGAGGGCAAAACAGGTCCTGCCTGGGGGGTTGGTACCAGTGTGGGGCAGAGGGCGGGTGTTGGGGAAAGTGTAAAGGAGGGTGAATGTAGTGCAAATACTATGTACACATGTATGAAAATGGAAAAATGAGACCTGTTGAAACTATTCCAGGAATGCAAGGAGGTGGGTATAAGGGAGAAGATGGAGACGGTGAATTCAGTATGACATATTGTAAGAACATTTGTAAATGTCACAGTGTACCCCCACCTAGCACAATAAAAAAAGAAAGAATGACAGAGTCAAATATAAAGTTAACATCTCACTCTAAACTACCAAAGAACTACTTGTAAAAGATACCAACAAGGACAGTGAACTTTATATAATTCATACTTGAGAGCTAGCCCACTGGATTTCAGCCGGTAACTTATTCAGCTTTTTGTCTAACTGTAGTCTTACATGTACACGGATGCCTCAATCTCCAAAAGGGAATGTGGAGACTGAAATTTAAATAATGAATCAGCTCAGAACTACTTTTTCATTTAAATTAAGTGTAAAGCAAAAGTAGATTTTTAAAAATTGCTTAGAAATAAACATGATGTGTTCCAGACTGAGCAGAGACATAAAGCAACCAAGAATATTCCAGGAGACATCTGATTAGTCGCTGGCCATGGTAATTCTTCATTAATTCTGTAAATTGTAGAGAAGAATAAATTCCCTGCTTTTGTGATAGTCTTGATTTTAAAAATCTGCAAATGGTTGGTAGGTGTCAAAAATTATGTCTAAAGTGCCTTTGGAATGTGCTTTATCTTTTTTTTAAACATGGGGTGACCTGAATGCCAAAAGGCAACACAGATCCCTCAGTTCCAGAGCAATCAATGCCAGAGAGAGAAATGGATGCTTATTCCTTACCTTTGCTTTATCCACTAAACAGATGTCATGTGCTATCTGGAGAGACTAAATGATGTGTTGTGATACATGAGTCTCGAAATTTCTCTTCTTTCCCCTCCAGGAGCTACAAGTTGTTTTACAGCACCTGTATATTTCCTCATACTTTTCCCCACCATCCATCTATGAAAAAGTTTTGTTTTGACTTTTGTCTAAACACAATATTTCAACAATCCAGGATGATAACATATTCCAATTGTCTCTTTTTGTAGTGTGTACCATTCTTTGCCCCATTTGGGGGATAATAATCTAAACAAATGCTGGGAAGAACATGAAAAATCTTTATTCTACCCTCAGCTTTTGTAGAATCACCCCTTAAATAAAACTTCTATTACTTTCTTAATATTCCATTACCAATAATTTACAACCCTTTCAGGAATTTTTCTCAACTAATCTATTTACAAACCAAATAGAAAGGAAGCAAATACATTATCTTTTAAAATATTCATGATAGTGAATATGTTGTTGCAATCTAATGGGTACCTATGAACTGCTGATTAATGAAATACTTAGTTTCTTTAAAAAATATTTCCTTTGATCATAAATATTGATGAAGGACAGCATTTCAACATCCTTCATTATTAATAACATGCACAAATATAAATACAAATATAAATAAAACACAGGCAGTGTTAGACTCTAACACAAAAATGACTTCTTGACAGCCCACATTCCCAAATGACAGCAACAAGCGGGGCTAAGTGATAGTTGGGCCCCTTAAAATGCATTATGCTTTCAAGCTTCCATTTCTCATCTCTCTCTTTCTGGTCCTGAGACCTCCTGCCATCTTCATTCATCTGAGTACCTCTATGCCCTGGTTTAGGAATCTACATATTCAACTCCTGTATACTACAAGAGCCTAGACATGCTCCTTAGAGAATGTATTCTATTTCCCCTCTAGAACTTAGGAGGCTTTCAAAGCCCAGGGCAAGTATTTCAAATTCTCATTTTCCCCTTTAAAAATAGAGTACTGGAATGATACTTAAAAGGTAGTATTTGGAATGACTTCAGATTGCATGAGGTGACACAAACTTTGCAGATCTGAGGCATTTTTAAAGTGTTCTAGATGGTTTGTTTTGATGGCTCTGGGATTCATTAACAGTTTTCTTTTGGTAGGTTTTAAGTGGTCATAAAGAATGCCAGGTATAGCATTTGGTTAGAATATATTTGAAGTATATCTAATTAATTGCTCTCAGTTCAGTAATTCCATTACAGTTTATAACATTCTAAAGACCAAGCACATGAAACAACTAATTTAGCTAATGATTCTGAATTTCCGCATTACCCAATGGAGGCAGCAGATTCTGTTTAAATGAAATAACTTCATAAGTAGAAAGGTGCAAATATTTATAGTCTGACAAAGCTTGAGGCTTAATAGTCTCCAAAGATACCAGTAAAACTTTACTACATTAATTGCTACTACTACACCAAATCTACTGTTAGCAAATTCATCAATGTATCCTAATGTTTCCAGAAGAAAATCTTTAAAGTTAAAATAAAATCAGGGGTTATTTAAGGAAAAGCAATTTTCATCATCTTTAAATCCAGTAGCTCAGCTACTTTTATGACACTCAATAAAAGTTCCATTAATTTGCTGAGTTATCAAGGGTCAGAAGTAATTCTCAGAGCCCAGAAAAATCAAAAAGTCACAAAAAAAAAGAAGCACAGTGATGACCCAGTGAAATCTGAAAAAGCACATAATATTGACTAGGAAACATAAACTAACCTAATTCTAAAGCCAAAGAATTGCATGAGGTTGAGATTTGAATCTTCCTGAATGAGAGAAACTAAGTGTTGAAATGAAGCCAAGTTTACAAGGACATCAAATACTACAGACAACTTTCTGTCCTCCCTAAAATACTTCTTTACATAATTTTCTTTATGCATTATTTCTTTAGATAACTTTCCACATAGAAAGCATTTGACAAATATATAATACAAAATATTTAACTCCATGCATCCTTTGTTTTTTATCATAGTTAACTAATTCAATCCTCAGTAAATCTGTTTCATGTGGTATAACAAGTCCATTTTATGGACACATATCAAACATCCTCAATATCTCATATCCAAGGGATCTTTGATTCTGACAGTTATGCTCATTGACTGGTGCCACACTGCCACTAAATAGATGAAAGTCTCTCTTTAAGCATCAGAACTTTAGTTTTGCTAGATGTGGTGGTACACACCTGTAATCCTAGCACTCCAGAGGCTGATGCAGGAGAATCAGGAGATCAAGGACAGCCTGGGACACACTGGGAGACCCTATCTAAAATAATGATGATGGTGATGACAATAACAACAATAATGACAAAGGAAAGCAGCAAGGTGGCCCTTATCTAATGCTGGCACATTAACATTGAATTTCCAGCCTCCAGAACTTGTTGGTTGCTCTTTTGTATTTCTGGAGCTCTTACTTACCCTTACTCACCCTTACCCACCCAATTCAAAATTTCCAGTTTGATCTTCCATAGAACCAGCAGTGAGTGTATGAAATAAAAATGTTGTTTTTGAAAACCAGCACAGGAAGTACTCAAAGAAATATTCTCCAGATGGTCTTTGGAAAAACCACAGAAGAATGATTCAATTCATCATTCTATATGGAATCTGAATAATGGGAGATAGACTAAATTGAAAACAATTTTAAAAATGCAGTTATAAGAGACATTCAAAAAAGGAAACTTTAGTTTTCACTGAAACCATTTCTGATGGAAATCTTCAAAAGAAATATTTCTAGAACAAATATTTCTATCTTCCTTCTTAAACATGGGTATTTTACCCAATATCTTTTTCTAATAACACAATTACACCACTATACACACAACAATTATTTTGCAGGCTGAAAGCATTAACTGCAATAGTTTGAAAGACATATTTTTATCTCCTCTCTACTTTGTCTTTTTAAAATGTGCTTTGAAAATGTGTTTTGAAAATCTTTCTAGCTCTCTGCATTTTGTTGTTTCTTTCTTCCCTGATCTCAGAACATCAGACACCACTTTTCTGTTCCTCCAGTAGCCTTATTCAACATTTTACATAA